AGAGCGTAGGGCTGACAACCCTCCCAGTAAAAAGAAAAACATCTCTCGTCTCGAAATCTACCTGTAGGTAGACGGCCTTGGCCCACACTGGTCTGTTGCGCCAATGATGATGATGATATAGTCTTCGAGCTTCTATAAACGAAAATCTATTGAGATTCTTGAATTGCAAAGCTTTTTCTTTGGGACAATTAACGTCAATGGCCTTATGTGCTTCACTGCAATTGATACATTTAGATATTTGATCTGAACACGAGTCTACAAGATGTCTGGCACACAGAATTCACAAGCAATTGCATTCTTATAATTTACAGTTGGGTGAATATATGAGTAACGATTTCTGCATTGACGAGGTTTATCATAAAATAGCGATATTTTTTGCTGTGTAAGTCATAATCTAACATATTATGGCAAGATTGTACCTAATACAGTAACTAAAACCGGTGTGGAAAAAGTCAGTGGAAAGGAAAAGTGATTATTTTATCTGCAAGAATTATTCAGCATTATTTTTAAGCTCCATTTACAGCACGAATTCCTCCTCGAACTCTAATTGGATCAATTCAGAAGTTAAAAAAATGCTTATAGGCCATCGAGAATTTGAACAGTAGAATATGTGACATACTTAAAATCAATACACGTTCTGTCTAGAGATGTCAGTATTTATGTGATTATTATATCAGCATTATTTTTAAGCTCCGTTTATCAGCACGAATTTCTCCTCGAATACTGATTGGGTCAATTTAGAAGTTAAAAAAAAAAATGCTTGCAAGCTAACGAGAATTTGAACAGTAGAAAATGTTATATTTTATGAAATCACTACCCATTTTGTCTAGAGATATCAATATTTATGTAATTATTATATCCGCATTATTTTTTAACCTTCATTTATCAGGATTATCATTCAGGAATGATAATAGAATAATAATCAATAACATTCCATACTTAAAAAGTTTCAAAAACATTGTCTAATTAAAAAATATTGTATATTACAGTTAATTTAATTTCTCAACATCGTATATTCAGGCTCTACTGTGAAAATAAGCAATAAAACATTTAATACATAACAAAATGATTTTTTTTTATTTCTGATATGATATTTAATTTAATTTCACATTTATTTGTTTATATTACATTTTTGCAAGTATATAGTATTATTTTACTAAAATTAAAATGACTAAATTAATTAATAATTGCTTTTGTTTTGATTACGACAAAATTCGAACCAATAATAATTAAACATTAAATAAATATATTACGATGAATCAAATATGTCTGGAAACATCCCTGCTTTTAATCAAGAAGTATCATCTATTTATAAATAAGCAATAAAACATGAAAATAAGCAATAAAACATTTAATACATAACAAAATGATTTTTTTTTTATTTCTGATATGATATTTAATTTAATTTCACATTTATTTGTTTATATTACATTTTTGCAAGTATATAGTATTATTTTACTAAAATTAAAATGACTAAATTAATTAATAATTGCTTTTGTTTTGATTACGACAAAATTCGAACCATAATAATTAAACATTAAATAAATATATTACGATGAATCAAATATGTCTGGAAACATCCCTGCTTTTAATCAAGAAGTATCATCTATTTATAAATAAGCAATAAAACATGAAAATAAGCAATAAAACATTTAATACATAACAAAATGATTTTTTTTTATTTCTGATATGATATTTAATTTAATTGCACATTTATTTGTTTATATTACATTTTTGCAAGTATACAGTATTATTTTACTAAAATTAAAATGACTAAATTAATTAATAATTGCTTTTGTTTTGATTACGACAAAATTCGAACCATAATAATTAAACATTAAATAAATATATTACGATGAATCAAATATGTCTGGAAACATCCCTGCTTTTAATCAAGAAGTATCATCTATTTATAAATAAGCAATAAAACATTTAATACATAACAAAATGATTTTTTTTTTATTTCTGATATGATATTTAATTTAATTTCACATTTATTTGTTTATATTACATTTTTGCAAGTATATAGTATTATTTTACTAAAATTAAAATGACTAAATTAATTAATAATTGCTTTTGTTTTGATTACGACAAAATTCGAACCATAATAATTAAACATTAAATAAATATATTACGATGAATCAAATATGTCTGGAAACATCCCTGCTTTTAATCAAGAAGTATCATCTATTTATAAATAAGCAATAAAACATGAAAATAAGCAATAAAACATTTAATACATAACAAAATGATTTTTTTTATTTCTGATATGATATTTAATTTAATTTCACATTTATTTGTTTATATTACATTTTTGCAAGTATATAGTATTATTTTACTAAAATTAAAATGACTAAATTAATTAATAATTGCTTTTGTTTTGATTACGACAAAATTCGAACCATAATAATTAAACATTAAATAAATATATTACGATGAATCAAATATGTCTGGAAACATCCCTGCTTTTAATCAAGAAGTATCATCTATTTATAAATAAGCAATAAAACATTTAATACATAACAAAATGATTTTTTTTATTTCTGATATGATATTTAATTTAATTTCACATTTATTTGTTTATATTACATTTTTGCAAGTATATAGTATTATTTTACTAAAATTAAAATGACTAAATTAATTAATAATTGCTTTTGTTTTGATTACGACAAAATTCGAACCATAATAATTAAACATTAAATAAATATATTACGATGAATCAAATATGTCTGGAAACATCCCTGCTTTTAATCAATAAGTATCATCTATTTATAAATAAGCAATAAAACATTTAATACATAACAAAATGATTTTTTTTTTATTTCTGATATATATTTAATTTAATTTCACATTTATTTGTTTATATTACATTTTTGCAAGTATATAGTATTATTTTACTAAAATTAAAATGACTAAATTAATTAATAATTGCTTTTGCTTTGATTACGACAAAATTCGAACCATAATAATTAAACATTAAATAAATATATTACGATGAATCAAATATGTCTGGAAACATCCCTGCTTTTAATCAATAAGTATCATCTATTTATGAATAAGCAATAAAACATTTAATACATAACAAAATGATTTTTTTTTATTTCTGATATGATATTTAATTTAATTTCACATTTATTTGTTTATATTACATTTTTGCAAGTATATAGTATTATTTTACTAAAATTAAAATGACTAAATTAATTAATAATTGCTTTTGCTTTGATTACGACAAAATTCGAACCATAATAATTAAACATTAAATAAATATATTACGATGAATCAAATATGTCTGGAAACATCCCTGCTTTTAATCAATAAGTATCATCTATTTATAAATAAGCAATAAAACATTTAATACATAACAAAATGATTTTTTTTATTTCTGATATGATATTTAATTTAATTTCACATTTATTTGTTTATATTACATTTTTGCAAGTATACAGTATTATTTTACTAAAATTAAAATGACTAAATTAATTAATAATTGCTTTTGTTTTGATTACGACAAAATTCGAACCATAATAATTAAACATTAAATAAATATATTACGATGAATCAAATATGTCTGGAAACATTCCTGCTTTTAATCAAGAAGTATCATCTATTTATAAATCAGTATCACATAAATTTATTCTGAAAAACACGGAGAAACGCGAACTCAAACTATTGCGAAATTACGAACTGAAACTTCTTACAAATCTGTTTAAGGCAACCCAGATTAGCGAAGGTCAATCCATGGTTGGCGATCTTGGCGCAGAATAGAATTTTGAAAGAAAAAGAATTTTTACGAATATAATTTGAAATAAAAAATGTTCTGCCTTTATACCTAATTTAAAAAAAAAAAATAATAATAATTCTAACATTCAGTTCTTATGACCTAAACCATAATTTTTAGGCTTTTATATCAACTTATTTTTTTCTCTATACTAGTTGGTAAGTTATCGTAATTATATTAAATAACTTATCTATTGCAAAGTTGAATTAAAAAAATTTTTTGGTGTGATCAGTATCGATTTAAATGTTAATGTCAATGATTAAGTGTTAGTGTGCTAATGTTTTATCGATTTAAGTGCTTTTAAACATTATTCAAATAATGTTTAAAAAACAAATTAAATTTGTTTTGTAATAAACAAATAAAATAAATGTATTTCATCAATTTTTATTTATTATAGATCATGTGTAAGAGTTTTCAGTATATTCGAGTTCAGGGGTGGGCAACTACCCTGAAATGGCCACTTTGGAAATGAATCATAACTTTGCGGGCCGCATATAAAATTATATATCCCAATATTAGATTCAGACTCACTATAGACATTTTTTTGAAGTGAAAAATTGAAGCATAATGAAATATTATTTTTGTGTTTACTATTATTACATGTAAATTTAGATAATATAATAATATTGATACTAAACGCGAATTGTAAAGAAATATATAACACTAAAAGGAAATATAAAAAATATATAAACGAAATAAAAAAAATGAAATAATTAAAAAATATTTATTTTATTAGTGTGATATTTGTTTCCCCACACTTTTCACTGAGCTTTTGCAAATCGATCTCAAGTTGGATATTGGCATATCGTAATTGGTGTTACAGATTAGCATCCGTTATGTTTGAGCGTGTTTTGTGTTTGGCCAATTTGATTTTCAATAAAAACGATTCGTAGGTTCAGTTGAACCAAAAGTGCTAACAACTTCAACTAAGACTCTGGTTTGTTCTGCTATCATCAATCAACTGCGCGTATCTGGGGTTGGTCACTGCGCCACTGAGGACACTTAAAATGAAACGCAGAACCTGTTCAGTGAACTCATAACTGTAAACTCATAAAAAAACAGGCAATAGTCATATATTTGCAAGAATATTAATTTAAAATCAAAGTCAATTTTTTCTCATAATTTCGTCAATTAATTTTTCAATATATATGTATAATGCTCACATAATGTTTTTTTTATTTCCTTGGTTTTCACTACTTTGGTCGTTATAAAATAAATGTATTTACGGCCATACCATGCTGAATATACCGGTTCTCGTTAGATCACCGAAGTCAAGCATCATTGGGCGCGGTCAGTACTTGGGTGGGCGACAACCTGGGAACACCGCGTGCCGTTGGCATTCACAAATTTGGGACCACAGGTTTCGGGTTCGAATCCCGGCGGTGCCATGGAAGTTTGTAGTGGTTCAGAATCCACATTAATCCGTAGGTCCCGGTCTCCTATGACTGTAAGAGCGTCACGGAGCCAAAGTCAGACTTCTACCTACGGGTGCTCCATCACAACAGGAGCTGCTTCCTACCCCTTCAATCATGAGTATGTATGGGCTCGTGGGCTTGGACAGCCAAGTAGGATAAGAAACAACAATAACAAACAAAAGTGTGATAAATGTCACGGCCGGAAAAATATTCAAGGCGGCCTGCAGGTTGGCCACGTCTGTTCGACTTCTTCTTATAGGCTTCAGATTCGAATCCTGGCGGTGGCATGGATGTTTGTAAAAGTTTGGAATCCACTTTAAACTGTAGGTTCTTGTCTGCGCGACCTCTGGGTTTATTACAAGAAAATTTCTGCCAAACTTCGTCACTTCTGATCTTAAGAAACAATATTGGGATTATGTTTGTTTCCTCTACCGGCTATAATGGCAAAATATATAAAATTATTAAAGCAATTTATAGCAGACACAATAATCTGGTCAGCAATAACATCTTTTATGCAAGTAATTTAGTTGTTACTGATCCGACTCAACAAGCTAATATGTTAGCTACTTATTTTAATAAATCCATCGACCACCAGTTTATTCAATTCGATCGTTCTGATGATTTCAACCAGCATTACAATAGACCTATTACTTTTACGAGCTAAAAGAAGCTATTCGCGCTGCTCCTAATACTTCACCAATTCTTCCTGGTCCCTATATTCAAGAGTACTTTAGCGGCCTGGTGGCCAAGTGGCTATGCGCTCTGGTCTTTGGTATCCCAGGCTTCAGGTTCGAATCCTGGAGGTGGGATGGATGTTTGTTGGTGGTTCGGAATCCAAGTTAAACTGTAGGTCCTGGTCTGTTTAACCCTCGTGCGCACAAGATGACCGTAGAGCGACAAACCAAACCAAATCAAGAGTACTTTATATCTTTAATAATATTTGGCTAACTGGTAGAAGACACCAAAAATCATTCCCGTCCTTAAACATTACAAAGATAGCCCTTTCCCTAGCACACATCGCCCAACAGCTTTGACTTAAATGCCTGGTAAAATCTTTGAACGTATCGTACTCTAAAGAATAATTCAGTTTACAGTTCATGACAAATTCGCTCCTAATCATCATTCTGGATTTATACCTTTCAAGGATTGCATGTATTCATTATCACTCCTATATCACAAAATAGTTGAAGCAAAAAAAAATGCCAACATTTTTTTTTGTTTTTCTTAAATTATACATTCATCTGCTTATGACTCAATATGGAGAGATTTTTGTTCTAATCCAGCTGACAAACACTTGGGCAATTGTCTTTGATGCCTTAAGTCAAGCTCTGCACAGACGTTACTCGCTTAGCACTACCCAGGTGGTGCTTGTAGTTGAAGATAAGCTACGGACGCGGAGTAACAATACCTCCGCAACGCTCGACGATCATGTTAGGTCGGGACCAACGGTTTAAAGTGGATTCCGAACCGCTACAAACATCCATGGCACCGCCGGGACTCGAACCCGAAACCTGGGGTACCGAGCACCAGAGCCATGCAGGCCCCCAATTTAGAGAGATGGACTTAATTATAAAATCTTACAGGTTGGCATAATGGGCATTGCAACAAGATGGATTAATTTCATTAATAATAATTTTTATGTTAAATGGAGAACTCATAATCTATGAAATTGTTTAGTAGCGTATAGCAGGGGAGTGTTCTTAGTGGTTTTCTCTTTACTATTTATATGAGAGATATTAGAGAGTTTTTGCATACCGTATTTTGGACGTCCGTTAGCTTTTTCTCCCTAGCGCGCAAGCTCATAGGAAATTGCGCATGCGTATCTGTAATAATGTTTCCTATGAGCATGCGCACTAGGGAGAAAAAAAATAACGGACGTCCAAAATACGGTATGCAAAAACTCTCTATTTTCGCGATCATCCCTGATCATATGGAATGCTTATTATATGCATATATGCAGATGATATTTTTTTTATCAGTGATAAAACTCTGGGAAAAGTACTTAATATTCTTCAAATAGCCCTTCATAAAACCACTCAATGGTGCGAAACTTGGAAATTCACCCTTTAACTTGGAAAGTGAAGAAGCGGTAAACTTTTCTAATAAAAAACAACAACCATCTCAACATCTGCAAATTTACAATAACCATATCCCTCGGAAACAACATACACGTATTCTTGGCATCATCTTCTCGCAAAATGTCTAGTTTTCTCTTTCAAACTTTATTTCTTTGCGCATACCGTATTTTGGACGTGCGTTAGCTTTTTTCTCCCTAGCGCGCATGCTCATAGGAAATTGCGCATGCGTATCTGTAATAATGTTTCCTATGAGCATGCGCGCTAGGGAGAAAAAAGGACGTCCAAAATACGGTATGAAAAAAACTCTCTAATATTTCCAGTATATTAAACGGAAAGTAATTAAAAAGTTGAATGCTCTTAAAGCAATTGCTGCTAATTCATGGGGCTGTCGGTTCTGGCATTTAATTCAAATAACAAATGCCACATCTCATCTATCTTTATCTCATCTATCCAGCAGATATAATAATATTTCATTGGATATCACCGGAAGATCTCCTATTTCAACAAAAAAAAAGTAATATTAAAAAAAAAAATTAAAGTCAATTCCTACTTTTTTTTCACTTTATTGCAGAAAGTTCTTTATTCATAATTTTCATTCATTTTTGTAAGTTTATCTTGCGCCATCGATTGATAGATACATGCAACTTAAATCTAAAAAAAATTTAATTAATTACTTAAATTTAATTACCGAATTAATATTTGAAAAAACTGTATTACCATCAAGTGTCATCCACTACAAATTTAAAAAAAATGTATTTTAACTTGAGCTTATGAATAAAAAGTATTTTATGAACGATTGAAAATTTGAACAAGATATATATAAGGAGAGTGTGAGCTAATAGAAGGAATTGAAAAAAAAAAGCTAAAAGCAACAGAGCAGTGAATTTGTGGCAAATATGCCCAGGAATTCAGTCATTTGAATGGTATTAAACCTACTCACAGACTTTTTCCTAATCATCGAAAAGAAGACATTCTTATTTCCAAATTTCGCACAAAGACATATCCTAGCAATTCTAAACTCCATAGATTTGGCCTGACTTCAACTCCGTTAAGCCCGGATCTGCAAAACTCCGGAAACAGTTGAACGCATTTTGTTTCAATGCATAAAAGATGCAGCAGCACGAAATAAACTGCAAAGTGCTTTTAGATACAGAGTTCTGTCTTACTCTTGGATAGCTGATATGGCAGAGGAAGCTTATTATAAGACAATAACGATACTTCAATTTCAACAACAAGTCTCGTAACCCTGTAAGCTATAGGGTATCCACATCCACAGGGGTTATTATTTTTTTCACGTTGTATTTCATAAATTCTAATCATCGTTTATCTGTTAAAATGTTATGATTTATTTAATCTGTAGTTTTATCTATTTTTTTCTTTTTCAAATTGACTCTTCTTATTTATGTATATTCTTTTGATAGCTAGAAAGTAGAAACAACTTTTCTTATATTTTAAAAGGAATTTTTAAGCCTTCATATGAATGATTTTTTAAGCAATGATTTCTAGAATTTCGTGTTGAGTAGTTTTATTTTTCACTCGCATTTGGATAAATTGAGATAAAGCAGCGTCAGTGAGCATGTATCTCAAAGCACCCGTCAAGTCAAGTGAACTGCTAATTTCTCGTTTTTCCTCTTAAATGTTCCAAGCGTCAAGAAAAAAAAGAGCGAGTGATCGCCAAATATATTTTCTACTCCTGTTCATAATAACTCTAGGCTGAAAGTTTTACTCTTCATTCTCGAAGTCTGCAGATAATATTCATTTTATAGGAGGAAAAAAGTGATAGAGGTATTTTTTCGACGATCTACTAGTCTTCTACACGTGGACTTTTCAAATTAAATAATTGAATTAGAAGTGCTTCATGAATCAAAATGTCTCAAACCAATTACAACAAGGAGTATTATTTTGCTGAGTCGAAACCTACTCTTATCACATGTTCCATTCAAAAATTTTCATCAACATTAACACCATTTATCTACGAAACAAGTAGTTCTTACTATTATCAAGTGTCAGGTCTTCCATTAGAACTTAACATACAATTTAAATCTATTTATTCAGATATATATTGTGAGATCTCAATATATAATTCCCAAGGCATCATGTTGCTCAAGAAAAGTCTTAATACTTCAACCTATGAGAACTTGAAATACCCGTACGTGTATAACATTGTAAAATTAACCGCTGAAGATGAAACTTTCCAGAAATTAAAAAATCAACCCAAAGATATGGTAATTATTATCTTCCGCACATATCGTTCTGCCTATTGTTATTCAATACATCCAAAAAGCAGTGCGTTCTATTCAAGGACTAATCATTTCGATTATCTCAAAGCATTGGCAGCTGACATAAAAAATTTACCAGATGATGTAGTAAAAAAGACCGTTGAGTTGCGTGTTGGCGATGAGGTCGAAACGGTCAACAAAGCTTTCTTGTGTGCACGATCTCCTGTGTTTTCAAAAATGTTCCAAAATGAAATGGAAGAACACCAAAAGAACACTATTGCCATAGAAGACATACGGATGCCCGTATTGAAAAGCCTTGTTTCGTTTTTACATACGGGAAAACTGCAAAATAATGATCTCGAGTTCTTGTGTGACGTGTACTATGCGGCTCATAAATATGACATTTCCGAATTACGCGATGCCTGTTGTGTTTTGTTGATGCCGAAAGTCACCGTGGAAAATGTGTTTGATTTATTAAAAATGTCAAATTCTTATCAAGATGGAAGCTTCAAGATTTCTATGATGGTGTTCATCTGTCAAAATTTTGAAACTATTTTTTCAAAAGAATTGGAAAAATGGATGCTAGAGGAACCAAAGCTTGCTTTAGAAGTTGTCAGTTTCTT